CCCCTTTTATTTTTCGCGCTATTTCTTTCAGATTTAAATTTGAGCTCTTAAACTTAATTATCTGTTCTCACCCTACTCCTGACTCGGGTCCAATCTCGTCTCTGACGTTAGGGCTTGCAATCTTACGCTAGGTCTATTCCTCCTGCCTTCATAACTTTAAATGTTTTGTGCTCGGTGTGAACGCAATGTACGTGTATCTTTTCCTCTTCCGTGGTGCTGAACGCATGTTGATTCTTCGCGTGAAGACGTGTCCAATGTGTGCCCTTTAATTTTGCTAGTACTATCGGGCATTCTTCCGGATTCTTCACAGTTTCTTCAAGTATCAGCCGTATCTCACAAGGGTGGTCCTCCTCTACTTTCTGTGTCAGCTCCATTCGTGAACACACACTTACCTTTTTCAACTTCTTGTATTGTTCCACTGTCTCCCGCGATACTGGTGCAAATCTTTTCTCGCTTGTGCTACCCGCAATGTATTCATATGTTGGTTGGAGATGAGCAACGACGTTCGTCATGTTTAATCCCTCCTGTTCTACCAGCAACGGTAATATTCTTAGAAGGTCTAGTTTCTCTCTTGTTACCAGCGGTATTTCGACATAATAGATAATTTTTCTATCAAGCGCAATCGTTGCTATCTTTGATATTTCTGCTATTTCTTCTCCCGTCGTGTTTCTTTCTCCCGGAAATCTAAGTTCCAGTCTAAATTGTTCTGCTAATATTTCTGTTTCTGTTATTACATCTAGCGCTGCTTCCGGCAGGTGTGACACGCCTTGACTGGCAAAATATATGATATCCGTCACTGTCTCAAATTTAGCTACGAGTTCTCCGGAAAATTTTTCGAATCTTTCTTCTATTCCTGATACTCTGTCGTATCCGTCTATAAGTTCTGTAAATATTTTCAATCCCCCTTCTGTTACCTTTCCTGCTTCGTTTTCAAATCTCTTTATAGCTTGGAGAACCTGCTCGTGATTGACGAACGTTAAAATCCTCATTTGTTCTTTTAAGTTTCATGTAGTGTCAGTCGTGTGCGTCAGGTTTGACTTTACTAGCTCCTGTATTTTCTCCTTATCTGCTTTTGCTATTAGTCCCTAGAGTGTCTGTACCGTTTTGATCTGGTTATTATCGATTTTTTGGCCAACTACTGCCCTGTTCGCCGTTTCCATTCTCTGTAAGGCTCCTGGGACTCTTTTAGTAGCCCGTTCTACCTGCTCTTCACATTTATCTACCTCATAGTTACCCTACATTTCCATTTCGTTTGTTGGCTTGCTTGTAGAAATGCCTCTGTCTGTTCGGCCATTTGATTCCAATCTATATACCATATTATTTTCCATGTCGATGCGACTGATTTAATTGGACCCAGATTCTCTACTAGTATCCCCGGATTTCTTTTGATTTGCTCTATCTTCCCCGGTTGTCCTCCTGCCAGCGTGGTTTTATCCCTAAAACATAAAATAGTTATCCTTTTTTTCCCTTCTCACTCCCATTTATCGTAAGCTCCTAGGACCCTAGGTTACCCTTGATTAAGAAAAGAGAGAGCAACTACGAAAGAGAGAGAAAAAATTCTACCTTCCTTCTTATTTTATCCTTATTTCTTTATTTTTATTTTGTTTTAACGTTCTGTGTTAATACAAATGCCCCTGCCATACTAATTATTAAATGCAATCTAGTTTTAGGGCTTGACTGGTTAATACGGTGAGTAGCGAGTGTGGCTCCATCTTTACATTAGGGGTGTATCGTTGCATATAATATTAATGTTATACTTATGTACATCATATTTGTTACACCATGTATGTGTATGCTATAAACATAAGGTACAGAGAAGGAGAAGGCGCGCGTCCCCTATTATACTGGGAAGGTGTTGTGGCTGCACTACCCCACCTTGGTAGGGGGGGATTTATACTTTCTAGCCGTCGGCTGTAGCTGTCACTGTACCATCCTGGTGCTAGTGGTGGACGTCCTCCTGGAAGGCACCCCCAACAATCCTCTCGATCACCGATCGGTTATCCAGGTTATTTTTTTTTATTTTTGTTTTATTTCTTGTTCCTTATTTCGATTTATTTATTTATTTCTTTATTTAATTTGTCCTTTCCTTCTTTTTTTTGCTAATAGGTGCTACGTTCTGCCAGCGGATGCCACGTCCCTTCCACGCTGATCACTGCTACCACTGATTCTCAGCCCAGCGTTGCCAACTGCCTTCAGCGGTTGCAAACGCTGCAGCTGGGGAAGGGTTCTAACAGAACTTCTCGAAGGAGTGGTTTGAGTCGTAGCCGGCGGTAAAAAAAGAAGAGGGTGAGCCACTCGTGTGGTTGTTGTAAGGGCTGTGGCTCCCATTAGTTTAAATGAGAAAAAATAAAAAAATATAATTTTTCAAGTACAGTGTTCTCATCCTTTTATTATTTATCTTCCATACTCCACACTTGTAATTTTTTTTCCGTCGCGTACACACGCATCGATNTTTTTTTTTTTTTTTTTTTTTTTTTTTTTTTTTTTTTTTTTTTTTAATAATCAAAATGGAGTACTACAACGGCCCCTCCCAACCCAGTGAAAGAGCGAACACGCGACTGTACTCAGCGAGTGAGCGTTTAAACTCCCGGACATGAAAATGTAAATACATACATACACACACACATATATATGTATATAACGCGCTTTGAGAGAAAACCACACTCGTAACTCTCCCGTTGTCGTTAGAGTTTTGCATTTCCCTTTACATGTGAATTACCCTATGCGCTCTAAAATGTAAACTTAATTTATATATTAGTACGTATACATACATGCTACTACGTTTGCTCATGGATATGTTCGGGTGCGACTTTCCCTCGCTGAGCTTTATCTAATGCCATTTAGTTTTCGTGTCTTTTGTGTTCTGCGTATGTGTTCTAAGTGCCCACTTATGTATTAATTGTATTAACATGGTTTTAATGCTAGTAAGATAGAACCACACGCACTTCTTACTCACCTCTCATACATCGTTCATGTTAAGAGTAACAAAGAAAATAAAAATAGAATATCACTTTATTATACACGTTATTTATTCATTCACTCTCATTATTATGATTGTTATTATTATTTTTATATTGCATATTTCTCTCCTCTTCTTAATTCCTCAGTCTGTGCTAATTTTAAACGTTATATATTTCCTTTCGTTACGTATCTTCTCCCGTATGCCTGTATTTAATTAATCTTCGCGGCGCGTCTGGGGGCCGCGAAAGAAAAAGAGTTCCCGAGAGAAGTGGTATTCATTTACACATCTATTTCTTCCCCCCTATTCATCTTTAATGTTATTATTCGTAAGTAACTATTATGGTGGGGAGCAAGTTGCCGCTTGGTCCCTTTCACTTTTCTTCTTCTCCTCTTCTTATCATCTAATCTCTCGGACACGGAAATTTCAATACACAAGCTTTTTTTATTTTGTCCACATGTGAGACCCGTATTTCTTTATTTCTCTGTAACTTCACATTATGGTTCCTGTAATATATGCTGACTTTTTCGTAAGAACCCTCGTATTGGTCATTCAATTTCCCTTTAGATGACTCTTTTAGTACATACACCATCTCACCTTCCATAAAAAAGTTCGTGTTCAGCGCCCTATCATAATAGTACTTTGATCTGTATTTAGTCTGTGTTTGGGTCATTGCTGCCAATGATTGTAATTGCGCGAGTGTCCCCATTATTTGCAGCAGTAACTCTGTATATGTTTGACCCACCTCTGGCCTCTTAAAACTTGACGGGAGTTTTGCCTGTTGACCAAATATAAGCTCGTAGGGTGTGTAGCCTGTAGTTTCGTGTTTCAACGTATTTTAAGCGAGCATACACAACGGCAATAGTTCGTCCCATTTTTTGGTCTCACTAATGTAGGCTTTTAAGGATTCTGTTAGAACTTGGTGCATGCGTTTAATCACCCCGTTGCTCTGGGGATAAAATGCCGTGCTCCTAAGTTTTTCAATTTTGAATAATCGCGTTAACTCGTCTTTCGTTTTGTTCATAAAATGCGTTCCTCGGTCTGATCATGATTTTTCTGGCGCTCCAAAGTATGCTAAGAATTTATTCGTTAAGGCTCTTACCGTTTCTTCAGCTGTTGCTCTTTGTACCGGTATTTATACAATAAACTTGGTTAGTCAATCCTGTATTGACAGGATATGTGTATAGCCGTTCGTTTAAGGCTTACTAATTGGTCCGTAATAGTCCATCGAGATTTTTTTGAATGGTCTGCTGGGTGTATCTGCAACGAGCATAGCTTGCTTTGTTTTTACGTGCACTAGTTTCTTAGTCTGAGAATACTAAATCCAAGTATAAATTGCCTTATAACGGCCCTAATGTTTCTCCAATCAGTCCCTTGCTATCTTATTACAGGTTTTATTGATTTCTTTATGACCCCCAATTGTTGATTCGTGATACTCCTTAATAACCTTATATCTTTGACCCACTGGTGGTATAACTAAGATGTTTATGTAAAAAGTCGGTGTGACCTTGAGGTTTTATAAAGTGTCCTCAAATTGTTCCTTAAAGTAGATCCATTAGCTCATGTCCAGTATTGCCAAGTCACGTATCACGCCTATAGAATTTATTTTATTTATCATTACCAGTGCCTTGAGTGACGTCATGCATCTCTTGATGTTTAATTTTAGCGCCGTATCTTTAAAATGCGATTTAATATACATTCGCATTACCGTGACCTTTTTCATATTTGTTTTCATGACGTCACCAACCATCTTTTCCCATTATTAAGGGCCATTATATCTATGCATCCGCGTTCATATAGAGCGTCTATTTTTTCCGCATCAGGCACGCTTTCTGTTACTGTCACGAAAACTAGGTTATCTAGACAATAAAATGGGTGATCCTTTGCTCGATGCATTCTTTGGAATGGCTGTAAGTCTGTTCCTTTTCCCGGTAGCCACGGTGGTTTTTCGTGTGGTAACCGTGTCTTGCATACTTTGTACTTTTTTAGCTGTGGGAGGTTTGATAATACTTTTTTTTAAGGTCTACTCTCTCTGGCCCGCTTACGACTCCAGTTTGGCCTTGTTTTTACCAGCCCCCTCTTCACTTCCATTCTTTAGTAAGTCTGAACTACTTGAAGAGTTGGGGGGTGGTGGTGGATCAGGTGGGGGCTTGTTCCCATCTTCATAAACGTCCTTATTCATGGACTCACTTTTATTACGCTTTATTTCTTTAACTTCTTCCTTTTTTTCTTTCTATGTTTCGTTTACTTCGCTTTTCCAATTTATATTTGCACCCGATTCGTCACTAACCCGCGATTTCCTTTCCACCAGGCTTTGTTCCTCCTCGCTATGCCTGGTTGCGGCAACGAGTGGTCTGAAGTGGTTGTTGAGGAGATGCAAGTGTACATATTTCTCATTGTCATTAATCGTGAAACTTTCGAAAATTTCACACTTTTTTCCCCTTTTTGTACCCTGTAGATGTATACAAATATTCTTCCTGAACTCTTGTGCGAACAACAATACGCGATGATTATTATTATATTCTGTGTTGGATTGCAGTATTTTTTCTACCTTCTCTGGGTCAACACGGATATTTTTCCACTTCGGACATTGTTGTATATCCCGGAGTTCTCGTGCCGTCAATTGAAAGTCACAGGAAAAAACAAAATAGTCAAATAAGCATTTACCTGGTATTTCTACCGAAAGTTCTTCGATAAGTTTTAAATTTTTTATTTGACTCCATGCAGTTTTGTTCCAAATTCCGTTTGGCTACATTTCTACCTCCTGTTTTACTTTTAATCTTATTGATTTCATCGATATAATCGTCCATTACCCCTCTTATTCTTTCATTCCCCAATGGGTTTTCATTTAACTGTAGTGATCCACGCGGGGTATCTTCCTCGCTAAAGAATTTCTCTCTATCCCCTGAGCCCGTTCTTTTCTTCGAAGGCTGTTGAGATATGATTGTATTATTATCTGCACTTACCGTTGGATCGCCCAGAAGTCGATCGGTGATAGTATCGGATTCCCAAGCGTCTATTCTAATTCCCAGCTTGCCTTTAAAGTCTCGGCGCTTAACATCTAGTCTACCTTTCACTTGGAAGTTATCTATTAAGTCATTAAGTAACGCTCCGATCTTTTTGGTTACTTTTGTCCCTTTTTCTAGACTTTCTTTCGTCTGTGTACCCCTTTGTGATTCATTTATTTGCTTCTGGCTTACACTCTCACTAGACGGTCTGCTTTGTGCCCCTTTCTTCAGCGTCGGTCGGTCCCCTTCGACCGTATTCGATATTTTCTGTTGCTGATTGTTACTCTCTTTAAGCACACTTTGCGCGTGAGTTTGGGCCCATTGGTCATTCTTTTTCTCTCCTTTATTCGCATTTCTGCTTGACATACCTGCATCCAAACTCATTATCTCTATGGTATCTATACGGTCAAGCATTCTTTCTTTCTTTTCGATCAACTCTGTAACCAGGCCTGCCTGTGCCTGCTGGTGTCCCCCGTGCTTATCATTATTCCCATTTATGTCTATGATCTCTGTACCTACAGTTTTTTCTTCCTCTTTACCTTCCTCATTCGCTAGGCTAGCTGCGGATAGTTGGAATCCCTTATGTTTTACCGGCTCATATTTTCCTTTTAAGGCCACTGGTGAGTCACAGATTGCTATAATAATCTCCTTCGACAAAGTTTCTATTTGCAGTGTTACTGAAAAATTCGGCGGGTGCCTATGCAGCGTATCTGAATTGTCTTTTGCGATTTTTTCGTTGCATCTTTGGATGTAGTTCTAAGTAAGGGGTGCTTGTTATTCCCACCCATTTTTTAAAATTTTTTTCTTTGCACATGTAAGCTAATTTATCCTCAGTCGGACCCTGTGATAACAAAAATAATGATGGTGCTGATAATAATTATATTGATGATAATAATTTTGATAGTAACAATTACAAAAATAATGATAATGATGGTAATAATAATGATAATGATGATGATAATAATGATGATGATGATGATGAAAATAAAGATGATAATGATGAATGATAACAAAGAAGATGATAACGGTGATACTGATATATACAAAAAAGATTATTATGATAATGATAATAATAATGATGATGATGATGATGATAATGATGATGATTATGATAATGATAATGTTAACAATGATGATGTTGACAACGAATATAATAAGGACGTTAGCCATTATACTGTAGTTATACTGTAGATAATAATGACTATAATAACGATGAAAATAACTATTCTAATAATGATAAAATGGCTGTTGTTTATAATGATAATGAAGATAACAAAAACGTTGATAATAATGATGTTAATGATTAAGAAAATAATGCTGATTTTAAGATCGATGTGATTGAGATATTAATAACAATATTCATCTTTGTGATGATGATGATGATGATAAAGATGTTAAAGATGTTAAAGATAATAATAATGATCATTACTTTAATATTGATACTGATTATTATGATGATGTTTATATGAATAATAATAATCATGATAATAATGATGATGATAATGAAGCTAGTGATAATGGTCGTTATAATAAGGACAATAATGTTGATGATCGTAGAAATGATAAATATGATGATGATAATGATAATTATAATGATGATGATGATGGTGATGATGATGATAACTAAGACGATGATGAAAGTGGTACTGATGATAACGATAATGATGATTATGTTCATGATGTTGCTAATACTATCGGACATAATGTTTGTTATAATAACAATACCAGAAATTATAGTATAAGTGTAGATGATAATGAGAATAATTAGGATGCTTATAAGGATAATATTGATGTTAATAAGAAGGATAGTACTTATAATAATAATAATTATAATGATGGTGATAACGATGATTATTATTATGACAATAATAATAATAAAGATAATAGAGATCATAACGGCCTTAAGGAAGTTAATGACAAGAACGTTACTGATAATGACGTAATAATAATAAAAATGCTTATTTTATCAACAATAGTAATCATAAAATTATTAACAGAGGTAACGATTATGATGATGATAATGATTCAGATGTTGATGTTATTTAGGATAAAGATTAAGATCATGATGATAATGATAACGATGATGATGATAATGTTGATGACGATAATGATAATGCTTACGCTGTTGTTAATAATGTTTATAACTTTAAAAGTACTCATAATTACAGCAAACGATAGATAAAAATGAGTATAATAATGTTGCTTATAAACAAATTAGATAATGATAATGATTAAGATAATAATAATGATCATGATGATAATGATAACGATCAGAATAATGATGTGAATGATGATGATAATGATCACAATAATAATGGTGATGATAAAATCGACGCAGTTGATGATGTAAATGATAATAAGGATGATAAAGATTACGAAAATAAGAATAATGATTTTGATAATAAAGGTTATAATGATAATGTTAAATATGTTGATGATAATGATAAAAATATTTGTGATACTAATAATAATGATTCTGATGATGAAAATAATGGTGATACTCATAACTATAGTAACAACGTAGATGATAATAAAATTGATAATAACGCTGATAATAATAATGATGATAATATTAATAATAATGATACTGATAAGGATTGTGATGTTCTTGATAATAAGGACGATAACGTTGACGATAGTAGTACTGATGATAATAATGATAGTATTAATGCTTATGCTATAGGTCATAATGTTGATAATAATCATGATACTAATAACTATTGTAAAATAATAAATAACAATAAGATTAATGATGATATTAATAATAATGATGATGATGATAATGATGATGATAATGATGATGATGATTTTAATGATGTTAATAATGCTTATGCTATAGGTTTTTATGTTTATAAATTTGATGATACTAATAACTATAGTAAAAATATAGATGATAATAAGAAAAATGACGCTGCTGATGAGGCTGATTTTAATAATGATGATGACAATGATGATTAGAATGATTAAGGTAATAAGTATCATTATGATAGTAATGATGATAATGAAGATAATGATGATGATGATAATGATGATGATGATGATGATAATGATGATAATGATGATGATGATAATGATGATGATGATGATGATGATAATGATGATAATGATGATGATGATAATGATGATGATGATGATGATAATGATGATAATGATGATGATGATAATGATGATGATGATGATGAGGATAATAATGATATTAATGAAGCTTATACTATTGGACATAATGTTTGTAATAATATTAATACTAGCATTATATTAAAAACATTAATTTTAATAATGATAATGATGATACTGATAATAATAATGACAATGATAATAATTATGATTATAACTATGACAAAAATAATGATTATAATGGTAATCAAGATGATGATGAAGGCAATGATAAAAATTATGATAATAATGATAATAAAGATGATGTGATAAAGATGGTAATAAAGAAGATAATAATGATGATAGCAAAGAAGATGATGATGGTGATACTGATGATAACGATGATAATTACAATGATGATAATAATGATGATAAAGATAATGATGATGACAAAGATAACGATAAGGATGGTGATGTTCTTTCCAATAGTGATAAAGCTTACGCTTTTCATCATTTTTATGATATTATTGATATGAGTAATCGTAGTAAAAGAGATAATCGTAAAAATAATAATAATAATGATAACGATTATGAGCATAATGATCATGATGATGATGATAATAATGATGATGATTATGAAGATAATAATGCTTATGCTATTGGTCATAATGTTTGTAATTAGAATAATATTAAAATTTAATTTTAAAGTATAAATGATAATAAGAATAATTATAGTGCTAATAATTATAATAATAATTATAATAACGATAAGAGCAACATTAACAAAAGTAATGATAATGATGGTAATCATGATGATAATAATGAAGATGATGATGATGTAGATGATGGTGATAATAATGACAATGATGATAATGACAATAATAATGATGATGAAAATTATAATACTGATGATTATGGTGGTAATAACGATGATAATGATCATGACGATAATAATAATGAGGATAATAGTAATAATAACGACTATAAGGAAGTTAATGACAACAACGTTGATAATGATGATGTAATAATAATAATAATGCTTATTTAATAAGCGAAAGTAGTTATGAAATTATTAACAAAAATAATGATTTTAATGATAATGATGATACAGATGACGATATTGTTAAAAATAATAATTAGAATCATGATGATGATGATAACGATAATGATAATAATGTTGTTTTGATAATAATAATACTTACGTTATTGTTAATAATGTTTATGATGCCCATGATACTTATAATTATAGAAAATCATAAATGATAATAAGAATAATAACGTTGCTGAATGATGATGATAATGATGAGAATAATGATGTTAATGAGGATAATAATATTTACAATAATAATAGTGATTACAATATCGATGCAGTTGATAATGAAAATGATAACAAGGATGATAAGATAACGGTAATAAGAATAATAATTATAATAATAAAGATGATAATGATGATGAAAATTATGTTATTGATGATGATAAAAATAAGGGTTATACTAATAATGATGGTTGTGATGATAATGATAATGGTGATACTAATAACTATAGTGACAATGTAGATGATAATAAGATTGATAATAACGCTGATAATAATAATGATGGTAATAATAATAATAATAATACCAATGAGGATTGTCATGTTCTTAATAATAAGAACGATAACGTTGACGATAGTAGTAATGATGATAATAATGATGATAATAATGCTTATGCTAGAGGGAATAATCTTGATGATAATCATGATACTCATAACTATTGTAAAATAATAAATAATAATAAGATAAATGATAATGCTGATAATAATAATGATGATCATGATAATAATTATTACAATGATGATTATTATGATGTTAATAATGCTTATGCTATTGGTCTAAATGATTATGACATTGATGATACTAAGAACTATGGTAAAAATAAAGATGATAATAAGATTAATGATGACGCTGATAAGGCTGATTATAATAATGATGATGACGATGATAATTATTATAATTAAGATAATAAGTATCATTATGATAGTGATAATGATATGATGATAATAATTATGATAATGATGATGATGATAATGATGATGATAATGATAATGATGATGATGATAATGATAATAATAATGCTTATGCTATTGGACATAATTTTTCTGATGATATTGATACAAGCATTATATTAAAAACATGAATATTAATCATAATAATAATGATGCCGATAATGATGATGATGTTGATAATGATAATGATAATAACTATGACAAAAATAATAATAATGACGGTAAGTAAGATGATGATAATGGTGAT